ATAACACATATAACAACGAGTCCTAGGCTAAGGCATCACAAATCAGGCCACTCTAGTCCTAACATATGAAATACCTAGCCTGTCTCTAGCATGCAATAATATCTCATAAAGTGCATCATACATATCTCATAACACAAAAATAAGGGTATTTTGGGAAATCACCGTTCGGGCTCTGGCTGATTGTACACACTGCTCCTTCTTGCTTTCTCTTTGAACTCTTATTCACTTTTAGAAAATTATTTCTTTAAAAACTTTTCTTACTTCCTCAGTTTGAGTCCAGATTTACCCGAAGGCGCATCCGAATCCCTCAAACCAAGGCTCTGATACCAACTTGTAACACCGTAAATTTCAAGACAAATTTTCATTTAAAATAATCATTTTACTCTTAGAAACACTTGTTTAAAATCTTATTCATAGTCGATTTACAAAACATAACTCCATTTTCACTTGCATAGAAAACCAGGATCCTCCAAAATATGACTCTTTCTCTGGTGTGTACAATCAAGCCGGTGCCGTCCCGTGATACTGAAAGAAACCTGAAAAACATCAAACAAAACACTGTAAGCACGAAGCTTAGTGAGTTCCCCAAAATACCACACATAACACATATTAGCCACTCGAGGCTATAACTCTGTGGGTCCGTGCACCCAAACTCTGTGAACCCTCAGGTTCTAACTCTGGGAACCTTCCGGTTCCAACTCTATAAACATGCACAGCATAAATCACATAGAAATAATGCAGTACAACACATCACGTACATATAGCATACAAATACTCTAATCACATAACTCTGGTTACCTACTCAAGGTAAAGTATAGTGAGAAGACTCACCTGGCAAGCAGAAAGCAGATATCCCCACACTTGAATCTCGAACTCGCCACCGCCTAACACGTAAGGCAAATACTCTCATGAATATAACTCTCGAGACTAGAATAAATCCTCTCATAACACCCTCTTATGGGTAAAAGACTATTTTACCTTCTCTTGGCCCAAAGGCCACATCGCTGACCAAACCCTAAAAGTCAACGGCCAACCCTTGGTCGAAATCAAAGTCCTCAGTCTAAGTCAACCCCTGACTGACCCTACTCGCCGAGTCAACCCTGTGACTCGTCGAGTTCCCATAATCAGAACTTCACTCAATCTGCGACCTAACTCGCCGAGTCACCCCGAGACTCGCCGAGTCCAACAACTCTGAGTCCACTCGCACACGACTCACCGAGTCATCCCTCGACTCACCGATTCTCGACTCAACCAGAGAATATTTGGGACTCTTCGACAAGACTCGCCGAGTCCAAGGCTATCTTCAACCTACTCGCCGAGTTGTTCTTCCAACTCGTCGAGTTCCAGGCCATCTTCAAGCAACTCGTCGAGTCGCCCCATGTGACTCGTCGAGTACCACCGGTCTGAATCCATACAGAAGCATCTCAGGCCATGCAATTGATCCAAAACATAGATCTAGTCTCCTACCACTCATCCATCACGTAAAGTGGCAAACTTTACGTGAATCCAAAGAGATCTAAGCCGTTTGCACATTGGGGCTAGGGTTTGGGACATGTAAGCTTCACTAAACACTCCAACACAGGGACTTTCATGCTCTCTGATTCTTCTCCCTTCCAGATCTGAGGTAGCAACCTCAGATCTAACCTCTAGACTTCCCATTTCATCCATAGACAATTTCTCACAAACCCAAAATGAAGAAACAACATAACAACAGGTCAATAACGAGATATTACCTCTAAGTGATGCCCCAACTGCAATGAAATTCGAATCCAAGCAAATCCCCTTGCTCCAAGCCTTCAATCTTCCCAAAATTCCTTCAACCATTACTTCTCCAAGCTCCAATCCACTCAACAATGGTGCTTCTCCGTGATTTAGGGTTTTCTGGGGCTCAAGGGGTGATAAAGAGGCTGGGAGGAAAACATAATGATCATTATATAAGGCTCAACCCCAAGAATTAGGGTTTTCTCCACTCAACGCCTACTCGCCGAGTCCAATACTCTGACTCGCCAAGTCGGCCACTTAACACGCGACCAAGTCGCGACTCTACTCGCCGAGTCCACACATGGACTCGCCGAGTCGCTCTTTCCCAAGTTACTCCTTTAGCCCTTCAACTTTACTCTTGATATTTCGGGATGTTACATCATCTAACTATGCTCTTGTGCCACTACCTGTAATACAAGAAACTGAGTGGGTCAGGCTTAGGAGCCTGGTGGGCACATAGAGTTTTCAACCCCCAATAAATAGTTTATTAGTTTTATCACATCAATCAACCCAATTACTCATTCTTGTTATCCTCACTTTACGTCCCTAAAACACCTATCATAAGGCACCTAGCCTAAGGATCATCATCGGGATGGATACTACTACTAAGGGGGTTCCTCAGCAAAAGGATTTCGTAAGGGAACCATGAGGGGGATGGAGTATACCGGTGAACACATCGTTCACAAACACCCACAGGTTGCGAGCTTGCTAGCTTTCCACTGGACCGTCTAGAATAGTCCGTGGTCGTCATTTATACTCCGTTATATGACTGGGTCATCGTAAATATTGAGGCGTCTCATCATTTTATCGCACATCGTCTATCTCATCTACCCATGTTTTACCCCAATATTTTTGTAAATATAAAATACATATACCATTTAAATCATTTAAAACTTGTATAAAAATGTTCATCCAACATAAATATCAAGTAAACAGATAATATGCACACATAACACGTAATTTATATAAAATACTTCATATCTATGTGTAAGATAAAAGTAATTATGCACTCACTTTTTAAAGTGATGATTATAAACTCGGGCAGCGCTTCGCTTTTAACAAAATAATTTCATTCAACGAAACCTAGTATAATTACCACTAGATTTTAGTCTAATATTTACCGTGACTAATTATTAGTCTTAGTATTATTATTATTATTATTATTATTATTATTATTATTATTATTATTATTATATAAGCATTTAAACAATATTTTCCAACCACTATGTACAGACAGGTGCCAGACATAAAACATCGGAGGGTAGGACCATTTTAGCATATAGCACTTCTGAAATCCAACAACTCTATGTTACCCTTTAAACAAGATTCACCGTACCGCAAGTAGTTAAAAAGATATTATAACAACATTTATATAAATCATAATAATAGCCCAAATATTTATTATAAGTTCATAATAACAATACTAATTTTAAATGTAAACTATATTTAAAATGAGATAACCATAACTTACTTACAATGGTGTTTTAGTTAGGAGTCGGGCTCTGCAGGGTCAGAACTTCATCGTCGAATCTTTCTAAGAAAGATTTTTGCAATGCTTCAGCGCTCACCTTACTATAATAAAAACTACAGAAAGAGAAGTCGAATAGCGAGGGATCAAAATGCTCGGGGGATAAGTAAAGAAAGACTCTTGAATCAAGAGAATGATTCAAGAAATATGAGAGGCTAGAGACTCTTATTTATAGTAATTGGATACCCTCTATATTTACTTAAATGACTAAACACCCCTTTATAATACTATTTTAAATAGATTTGGTAATATTTGTACCAAACTAATGTCGAAAGTACTTAACACTAGTCTTATCACAACCGCATTGTCAATACATTTCTAATGATATATATATATATATATATATATATATATATATACACACACACACACACACACACACACACACACACATATATATATATATATATATATATACACACACACACACACACATATGGTTTATACTTTATTTTAATACGTAAATGTGCTATTAAAAATTATAACTCGTTCATACGAACTCCGTTTTAACTTTCTTTATATCCAGACGTAGCTATCGACGAGATCTACAACTATCATTTAGACCCCATCGGCTAGTTATGAATATATATTTTGTCCCTATTTTTATAAAATTAAATGATTTTGCTAAAATCATAATTCTATCGTACGGACTTCGTTTTTGACATTCTTTTTCTCAAAATTTCTATTTTAAGGAGTACTATGATTTTCATTTTGGTCGCATTAGCTAAAAGTCAACTGTTCTTTTCGTAGCTTTTTACGTCACACAATCATTGTGCGCGAATGATTTTTATATTTTATAAAAATCATATCTAATTCATACGAAGTTAGATTTTTACAAAATTTATTTTTTCGGGATCGGGAAGACGTGTACTTTCTAAGTATTTAATAATATATATATATATATATATATATATATATATATATATATATATATATGTTTTGGCGTATTTATTTTTACGATTTACAAACGATTCGACTGATGTTTCCTATTTTATTATATTATAATAATCTTGAAACACATAATATTCATATAATTCTTCTTTATTACGTCAAATAGGTTATAATTGTTAACCATAACTATTACATAATCACATTAATGCTTAACACATCATCCCATCCCATTGAGGAATATAAATAAACCCCCACCCCCGCCCCCAATAGGGACTGGGGATCCCAACGGGAAATCAAAGATTTTTTTTCTTATTAATATGAAAATTTTTACATAAAGGAAAACTCTAAATTTTATTTTTATCAACATAAGTTTAAAGCTTTTACAAAATATAAAAATATCCATAGATTGCATAAAAAATATAAAGAAATTTTCTACCAAATTCAAATAAATACTCAAAAAACTAAATAGAAAAAATTATCAGAGAGATAAATTTAAACGAAATAGGAAAACAAAATTTGTGTACGAGTTTAATTTAGATAAAAGAAAAAATATATAATTTCAACTAAATAATTACTAATAAGTTAAGTTACGGTGGATTAAATTTATGTATTATAAATTGTTACAAGTATATGTTTTATATTATTTTTGTATATTAATATATATCGGGGACGATCTAGGGTCGGAGATTAGGAGTATCCCGATCCCCATCCACATCCCCGATCAACTTGGGGATTACCCAGTCACAATGGATGCGGGTTTCAGGTTCGTTATTCGGTATGACGTTTTTTTACCATCCCTACAAGAGTACAATAAAATAAAAAGATATAATGTAATTTTAATTCTTATAAATTACACATTATCAAATATTATCACTGATTCACGGACTCTCATTTCTCTTTGATTTCATGTCGATGGAGGACACCGCTAAACCTCCACCACAGTCGTCACTCTCCTTACCATGGAGAACACGCATTGCTGTCTCCGTTCTCTCCACCGTCACCGACGCAGCTTGCCGGAAAAACGGCACTGTCAACCGTCGTCTTCTTAGCTTCGTCGACTTCCGGAATCCGCCAACGGCAAAATCAATCAACGGCGTAGCGTCACACGACGTAGTTGTAGACGAGGCTCGTAACCTCTGGTTCCGAGTCTACGTACCTACACAGCACGCCGGTGAAGATCTCCCGGTGATCGTGTTCTTTCACGGAGGCGGATTCGTCTTCCTAGCCCCCGATGTCCTGGTATACGATGCCGTTTGCCGTCGGTTCGCGAGAAAAGTGCCGGCAGTCGTTGTTTCTGTGAACTATCGCCTTGCGCCTGAGCATCGGTTTCCGGCGCAACACGATGATTGTTTCGATGTGCTTAAGTTTCTGGATGATGAAGAGAATAGGTCAAAATCGTTGCCGGAAAATGCGAATCTGTTGCGTTGCTTTCTCGCTGGAGATAGCGCCGGTGGAAACCTATCTCATCATGTTGCTCAAAGAGCCTGTGAATTCAACTTCCAGCGACTCAAGGTATATTACTCGTTACTTTACCAGATTCATTACTCTGTCATTATTTACAATCAAATAGCTCCGATTCCAAATTTAGAAATGATTATAAACAATTTCATAAACATCTGTTGTGAATCGAGTGAGCAATTATTAATCATCTGATAAAAATCGATTAACAGATCGATCGTTGTTTTCCCCATGATCTAATCCAATGAACCACTCATTTATTTGACTCTGACATTAAAGAAATTCTGGTGTTTACCATTGACGTCTGCATCAATCTTCTCACCAACCACTACCAACTTTAAATTTAATTCAAATTACTACAGCCACAACGTGTCGTTCACTATCTACATCACACTCATCTTAAAAGTTTCTGCAACCATATTAATTATTGGTTATAACGAAAACTTGCACCACCAGGTAATCGGAGTAGTATCAATTCAACCGTTCTTCGGCGGAGAAGAGCGGACGGATTCCGAGATCCGCCTTGAGGGAACACCAATAGTCTCAATAAAACGAACAGACTGGATATGGAATGCATTTCTACCACAAGGGGAAGGGTTCAACCGGGACCACCCAATCATCAACGTTAGCGGTCCAAACGCGGTGGAGATATCAAAACTAGACTTTCCGGCGACGATGGTGGTGGTGGCGGGGTTCGACGCGTTACATGACTGGCAAAAAAGGTACTATGAGTGGCTGAAAAAGTCAGGGAAAGAAGTGTATTTGTTTGAGTATCCAAACATGTGCCATGCTTTCTATATCTTCCCGGAATTGCCTGAATCTGGACAACTTATTGGGCAGGTGAAAGACTTCATTCACAAGGTATCGAGTAATGTTGTTGCTACTTTGTAGACAACATAGTACGTTGGTCCATTATTCCTTTTATTACGTATGCATTGTTAGTTGTACCAAACTCATATTATATTGTACTTTTTGTGGGGTTTTAACCTTCATGATCTATGGCCTAATGGTCCATATGTGGCTATGCAATAGTACAATCTTTAAATACTCGTTAGTAGTTAGTGAGGTGTTTGCGAACATAACAAAAATCCAACATGTCTTTTGAGGCTATGGGCCTCAACGAAAAAAAAGAAATTCAAATTAAGTTTCTTAGTGATCAACATATCACCTCCATTACTTTTAATTTGGGTTCAATTGTGACTTATAGGTGGACACCTTAACATTTTATTGGTGACATGAAAGAAAGATCCAAACTTGGTTTAAGGAAGATGTAAGAACAAGAGTTTTTGATACTGTAGCATACTGAAGTTTGATCAAGTTACATATTTAATCACTCAAGTTTTTTTTGTGCACAATTAATCACTAAAGTCATAATTTACATGTCAATTACACCATTTTGTTCCATGATACCGGAAGAATCGGTAAATTTATTGACGTGGCATGTTAATTTTGAAAACACAATAAAAAATTATGAAGGCCACGTACACTTCCTTTTCTTTCCAGTGGCAGTGTCTCGTTCTCCCCTCCTACGAACCTAAACCTCCTCTCGTTCTCCCCTCCTACGGACCTAAACCTCCCTGCAAAGTCTCTTTTCTAATACCCATTCTTCCACTGTGAGTGAGATAGAGAGAAAGAGTTAGAGGGAGACGGAGAAATTGAGTGAGACTGAAGCATGTTACTGAGTCACAGCGATAGTGAAACGTAGTGGTTGCCGCCACCTGATTAGTTTGTAGATGGAAGAGGAAACGATGTCAATGGGTCGACCCAAGTGACCCACTATAGCAGTCAATAAAATCCATCTGAGTGACCACACTCCGCCTATGAATCATACAACGAAACCCATAATCAAGCAATCCATATGAACATCACCAACTACAAAACACAATAAATGAAGTTGTTTGATTGAAATCTGTTACAGGTTGAAGACTACCAAACACAACATCATCAACTGCAAAACCCAACAAATGAACATACATGGTTTAATTAAAGGGAAATGTTGCATAGACATGAAGATACCTAAAAATGGAAGCACTCTCTATTGCAATCTATGATCAGAAAAAACTGAAGATTGATACTTTGACCCTATGAAGAGCATCGACTGAACCTTGTTCCTACAATTATCCTTCTATACAAAAAATCAAAGCATTAACCACCTAATTTCTATAAACGATTTGACTAAATGCAATAAAAACGATGTCTGGGAATGGAAACAAGAAATCTATCAGAAATTAGAAATCAATTGGCCTACAAATATGAAATTCATAACTTAAATGGCAGATCAAATTAACACAGAATCCCTATTAGGTTGTAGAAACATGTAGATAAGTGTCGTCGTCGGCTAAAGAAGCAGCACCAAAGAGGAAGAAAAGGTTTGTTTCATGTGTGCGTGTTTAGAGTAAGGTGCAGTTCAGAGTTTCCACAACTATGATTTCTCTAGGAGGGTATATCACGGCCTTCAATGGAAGCCATGATTTTTAAGGTTCATTAGAACATCATGAGAAGGAGGTGGAAGCCATGGTTTTTTAGGTTTCATAAGAAAAGGAGAATGATGTGCGAAGAAGAAGAACCACATGCGTGTGAAAGAGGCAGAACAATCTAGGGTTTTTTTTTTTTTTTTTTTTTTTTTTTTTTTTTTCAATTGTAAATAAAATAAAAGGAATTAGAATATCAATGTCTATATGAGGTAGACTACTTATTGCCACATCACTATGCCAACTAAGCCTGATTAACTTGGTAACCGACTAATTTTAGGTTCAATCACCTAATTAACAGGTGAAATGCAATGTAAATGATCTATTGTGCACAAAAATTACTTGAGTGACTAAATGTGTAAACTCATTAAACTTCCTTGTGCTACAATTTCAAACACCCTAAGAACAAATATCAAACAAGAATATTTATGCAAATTAAAAAAAAAATGAAACAAAGTAATGTAGAGATGAGAAGTTAATATTGATGAATTTTTAGGTTACAAACAAGAATATTTAAGTAACGGAATCATAATCAAATTATGGGTACGTGTAACCTAAAAGTCTATGGTTTTTTCTCAAGTTAGAGCAATATACTTATAAAACAAACTTCTAACCTATGTAAATCGAGAATTATAAAGTTAGAACATACTTTTTGCAGAAATCAAATAATGCAAACAACTCTCTTGAAATCTTCCCTGGAAAGCAAGCATGAAGAGTGTAGATGTTTCTAATGGTTCATACTCAAACCTTAGAAACCCTAGGATCGAAATATAAGAGAGAGGAGGGAGAGGAAAATTGATTTCTCTATGTGTATGTGTAGGTTTTAGTTTTGCTAGGGTTATGGACCCTATTTATAGTCGTAGGAAACTCTAATTTGGATAATAAAATAATAGTATTTTAAATCAACTCAAATTAGTTTCCTTATCAGCTTCAAGAGGCTTCCAGAGCCCTTCCGGTTCCTCCTCAAAATCGTCCAAAGTATAGGAGGTTCTAGAATTGTCTTCCTTGTTAAATTATTGAACAATTACAACCGAGAAAATGTTATATTACCCAAATGAACTTGTCATGTTTGTTTTAAAAGGTCATCAATTTATTTTTTTGGTACAAAAAGGGGAATGAAGTCAGAATTGACTTGCTAAAAAGGTACGTTGACTTGTAATTGCCGATTTCCATATGGCTTTGCCTTATTTTTCTTTCAACCGATTCCGGTTTCTCCTCATCCCCTTCCTTGTTCTCTTTCTCTTCTCCATTAACACTTTGGTGCCAAAGACTATGAATGATTCTGAGGTCTTCATCGGTGTTTATGAACAAAAGGATAAAAAAACATCATCTTAATTACTATTGTTCATTGTTATCACCAAGATCACCGAATAGTGATGAAGCAACAATACTCTCATTGGTCAATTTTAAATTGCTTCATCCTTATGGGCTCCCTGATACACACCTTATTGAAGCCCCCTCCCCCAAATCCTCACCTTAATCCCCTTGATTTCATTAACTCAATCTCAGACCTCTACAAGAGAATGATACATTCTTCTTATGAATCTGAAAGTTGTGGTCAATATTTAGAACAATATGGACTATTTTGCGCAATTGGTGTTCCGAAGCTTCTTCGAATAAGTTTGTAGTTGGCTCAGGAACATGTCGTCGACATACATTCGAAGGTTGTACTCTCTATGTGGCTACGATATGAGCAGACAGAAGACAAGCTTGTGAGAATTTCCAACATGGATTGTATCAGTAAAGTTTTCAAATGCCCAAAATCTGCTTTAATTGATATCAAGTAGGAATATCATATGTAATCTTGAACTAAAGCAAAGCTATTCATCCACTTGTTATGTGGTTTGATTTTGATTCTTTTGGGGGTTTTTGTTGTTTGGTGGGTTCTTGCTATATTTTTTTCAATTATGTTTTTGTAGTTGATCTCAAGTCTTTATTTTGTTTTCTAGTAGATTAGCCTTGATAATGTCGCTTTGATTGTGATTCTATGAACGAGTATTATAAAATTTAGTTTGTTGGGAATTGCTTAGACTTAATTCTACTGGATTTGGATGGATGTTTGCTTTTTTTTAAGGGCTCATATAACTATAATTCATAATTATTTTTGGTTTTGAGAAGAAAGACGTCACAAAATTTTGTTGTGAAAGGGTAACCAGGTAGGAACAAAGGTGCTACAGTGGAGCTGATTAGGTGCATACATGTTACTGGTTTACCTGATACCAAGTTAAATAAGGAACTTTTAAAAACATTAAACTCGAACTTCATTACATTTAAAAAAAACTTGAGTGACATTTTAAAACAAATTATATAAGTTTGTTGTGCTAATATGATATTTTTCCATTACAATTTAACCCTTGTACATTTAATTAAATGTAATTAACCTAAAATTAATTTCCAATTAATTCTTAATTAATTATTAACTAGTTCTAGTTAATATATTAATCATATAATTGATGGATTAATGTATCTAAGCCCATAACTAAATTGCTATGCCATGTAATTAGAAGCAAATTTTTTTGTGTTGCCCTTATAATTGGTAACTGAATTGAATAATATTTTGAGACAGAGGTTGATTTATTAATTTATTATGTGACTGATAAATTGTAATAAAAGATTTATTAATATTTTATGTGGTTAATATATTAATTTGAAACAATATTAATTAATTAAGAATTGATCAGAATTAATTTAGATTTAATTATGGGTTAATTAGAATTAATTAAAGGTGTAATGACTAGACTGTAATTGTTCAATAGTTAAGGAAAAGTGAATTCCAGAACCTTCCACTAGGTGGACGGTTTTGATGATGCTAAAAAGGCATCTGTAATATTCTTTCTAAGATAAGGAAACTGAATAACCACCCATATTTGATATAATATTATTTTATTTAGGATTAGTGTTTCTAGGTTATCTTATCAGTATAAATAGGACCCATTTGGTGCCTTGATTTCGTGCACTTACCTCTCTTTTAGAAGAGCAGAAATGATTAACCTCTCTTCCTTCTCTTCTTATGTGTTTTTGTTTATAGGGTTTGGGTACAAATCATTAGAGGCACTAAACTTTTGGTGCTAGCTCCTCAAGTCTACAAGGAAAGAATCAATTAACTTGTTTGCTATAACAATATTAAGGTATGTAATTATACTTTGTGATTTTTGAAATTACTATGGTTTATCATAGTTTTGTTATTCAAAGTATGTTGCCTTAATGTGAAGACATAGATCCTTTTAGGTTGTATGTCCCCTTCTTAATTGTTAAGTGATTTTCTGCATTGAACACTTTTTTGTAATCTAAGAAAACCATCAGTTTTAACATCCATTTTCCATAGTTCATAAACATGAAAGGCAACTATGGCAAGAATCACCCTAATCGATTTGATCCTATCAATTGGCGAAAAGTTCTCATCATATTCAATCCTTTAGATTTAAGTAAAGCCCTTTGCAACCAGTATGGCCTTGAACATTTATACATTACCATTGATGTCGATCTTCTTCTTGAAGATCCATTTGCAACCTACTATCTTCTGATTGGGTGTATAATCAACCAAGGTCTATACTTGGTTATCGTACATGGATTAAATCTCACTATCCATTGTCTCTTTCCATTTAGCAAGGTAAAGGCTTACGATCACTTCCTCGTAGTTAGATGGCTCATCTAGATTTACCAATATATTATCACTAATAAACATGCCCCTATCTGTAGTTATATGGAAACCATAAAACATGAGTGACATACTAACTCTACCAGACCGACGAAGAAGTAAGGA